TGAAGTTAAAAGAAGCTCCTGATTCTCATCATATGTACTGATCACAGGGTATAAGATGGTTTACCCAGGAGGCAAGAGCTACAGAGTATTCTATAGTCACCTTGTTCTTTTAGAATGAACACATCTAAACTCTTATAGTAATTATGTAGATACATCAAGCCCCAGACTTCAGAAAAATGACCTGGTGCCACTTATCTAGTCTCAGTTTAACATAGAGAAGAACCACAGAGGGAAGAATCAGGTAAGGTTCAGGATGGTGGGATCCTAGAGCTTCAGCCAACAAGCCCAAGCTCTGGTATTTAGAAACGAGGATCTCCTCTGTTTTTCTTGGCCTCTCAATGCTCATGGCACTTAGCTTTAGAACCGTAAAAATGAACAGCAAACAAAGGTTTTCTTTTCACCACATTTTCTTCTTCTAAAATCGCTTACCTGTTCAACTTACTGTGGAACACTGTTCTCAGACTCCTCCCACCCAGGAGCCATTCCCGCCGTGATGGGGTAGTGATGTTCACGAGCCCTATACTCTCAAAAAGATGCCCAGATTTCACACTGCAACACAGACTTGCATTATTACATTCCCCCCAGGATCCTCACATAAAGCAATTCCAAGCCTGCTATATATAACCACAACATTTATCGAAGGCTTACTGTATGCTGAACATTTTATGTGTTAAACTGACTTAATCCCTATGCCAAGCTATGAGGCATCCATCATGGTTTTACCTCACATAGGAGGAAACTGAGGCACAGTCACACAGCTAAGGAAATGAAGGAACTGAGGTTTAAATCCAGATAATCCGGTTTCAAGGCTTGTGAGCTAATAGCTTTCAGGATGGTCATGAGAAAACAATCATCATAGAGATAACCTGTTCTAACATATTTTAAAATCTACTCTTTGAAAACTATTTGCTATTACATAAGATGTATCTCACAACTGATATGACCCCAAATACATAACAGCTTTCACCTAACTGGTGAAAATGATTTCAGAATTTGTTTTCCTACCCCAAATCATTTAAAGTGAAAACTTAGCTTCCCATTACTTGACTAATTTTCAGTAAAATTTTGTTGCCACAAACTTTTTCTAATTCAAATATGGCCTGAAGCTCTTTATGTTATGAAAACTGAATATTATTTTTTTAAATGTTTATTATCACCGAATCAAACACTCTTTCAAATCCTGATGTTCCTTGAGGAAAAATTAAAACTGAAAGTCAAATAGGCAGCCTAAACTTACAAAACTGTGATAAAACCAAAGACAGAGCTTCAGTCTTTTGATGTAAAAGCTACTTATTACTCTAGTGAAGAAGGCATACTGGTTTGAAACTAATTAAAATTAATTAGAAGCTTCAAGTACCTCAGATGTAAAATCATGCATTACATAAAAAGTACTTTCAAGGTGAATTTCATTTTTAGAACTTGAACTAATTTAGTCTTTGAAATATCTCTCTCATAGAAAATACCAACAGCAGACAAATGATTTATGAATTGCAATTTATGTAGCTATATGAACAACATTCAAAAATTCAAAAGGCATATCAAAATGCAATAAACAGAAAATAAAGATAAGATTTACAAGGAAAAAAAACTATTTCACTTACAGTACTGTTACGGTCTGGATGTTTACACCACCACCCCTCATTCATATATTGAAATCTATTCATCCAGTGTGAAGATATTTGGAGGTGGGGCATTTGGGAGGGATGAAGCTCTCCATAAATGGGATTTGTGCCGGTAAAAGCAATCCCAGGGAGTCCCTTGTCCCTTCCGCCCTGTGAGGATAGCTGCCTAGGGACATATTGATCTTGGACTGTCCAGCCTCCCAGAACTGTGAGAAATAAATTTCTGTCGTTTTAAGTTACCTAGGCTACGGTATTTGTGATACCAACCCAAACGAACTAAGACAACCACATTATATTCTGAAAGCAACTTATAACAGGTAGGTTTATTCTTTAAAACCTAACGTACTTTCAAAAGACAAGTGTGAATTCCTTTATTCTATTTTAACAACTTCCTGTCTATAAACTGTTTAAAGACCAAGTCAAGCAACGCCATCTACAGGGAACATTAGGAATAACAGTCCTATTTCTATGATCCACACTTTTTAAAATGTTTTATTTATTTACTGGACAAGCAGCATGTGGAATCTTGGTTCCCCAACCAGGGACTGAACCCATGCCCCTCCACTGGGAGCGCAGAGTCTTAACAACTGGACCTCCAGGGAAGTCCCCGTTCTTTTCTTTGGGGGCTTCCCTGATGGTTCAGACAGGGAAGAATTTGCCTGCAACGCAAGAGACCTGGGTTTGATCCTGGAGTCGGGAAGATCCCCTGGAGGAGGAAATGGCAACCCACTCCAGTATCCTTGCCTAGAGACTCCCCTGGACGAGGAGCCTGGGGGCTACAGCCCATGGGGTCACAAAGAGTCAGACACGAATGAGTGACTAACACTTTCACACTTTTCTTTAAATGAACACAGTTGTCTGTACCCTGAATTGACATCATTTAACAAGGAAACTAGCCACACTGTGTAAAAAGTCCCACTAAAAATCATTCTGGATTGTTAATACTTCTTAATAACCTAACTTTACTTCCAAATTCACCAAACATGACCCACGGACCCTAGGTTATGAACTGCAGCAGGTTAAGATTTAAAACTATGTAACCTTAAAGACCTTGAAAGTTATAGTCCATACAGGGAGGAAACAAGTCATTGGAGGCTACAGTTGTAACAATTTTCTTTTCCTAGCTCTTGAATCCTCCCCCGCTTTTTTTGGGTAGCTACCCTGTGCTGCATGTGAGATCTTAAGTTCCTCTGCAGTGGAAGTGGAGTCTTAACCACTGGACCTTCAGGGAAGTCCCTCCTCTTTACTCTTGAGGAATATCACCTTTACCTTCTTGGCCAAACTTTCTAAATTTTCACATACTTAGTTCCTAAAACTCAGCCCTGTTTATTTCAAAACATCCTATTTCACAGAAAATTCCACATCAGATTCAAAGCTCTCTCCTCCCTTCACAGTACAGATCTAATCATGGTTTGTTTTTATGTAAAAGTAGAGTAAAGTCACTCAGTCACGTCCGACTCTTTGCAAGCCCATGGACTGTAGCCTACCAGGCTCCTCTGTCCATGAGATTTTCCAGGCAAGAGTACTGGAGTGGGTTGCCATTTCCTTCTCCAGGGGAACTTCCTGATTTCATTCCTTTTCTTTGATCTCTTCTTGGGAAGTAGCTGCTAGAAGAGGCTTCTTCATTGCAGTAATTCTCAATTTAGGCTAAACATTAAAACCATCCAGAGGACTTTAACAAATTAAACTCTTTAATTGGATTGGGATGGAGACTAAACAAAGTTTTTGTTTGCTTTTAATCTCCCAAGTGCAGCGAGTCTGAGCAACACTGCCTTACTCGTGGGGTGTGTGGCTCTCTAATTGGCTACAGCTGCCCTGTAGTAAGCAGCTTAGAGGTTTCACTGTGCAGTGGCAAGCCCCACTTGGGCTAATTGCTGAGCGGTTCCTCCTGGTCCTGGTAGTCCCTTGAGATTTGAGCGATGTCTATATTCTGGCTAACCCCCAGCATCACACCTCACTTGTCTGCTGCACCTGCCTTTTAACCACCCCATGTTGTTGCAGAAGTCCTAATGCCTTCAGCTCATGTATCAACTCTCAACTGCCTGAGATCCATCTTTAACACCTCTCTGACTGACAGTCTCCACACCACCTCTCCAAAATTCCCATGCTCTGGAATTAAACAGATGTATTCATCTGCAGGATAAAGACAAATCCAACCAGGTGGGACAATGCTAGTCTACCCTTCTTGGAGGCTTCCTGGATCTTGAATTCCTCCCCAGGTCTCCCTCCTGTGGCTTCTGAGTACAGATGCTCTCTGTTCCCTCTCTCATGAGAGCTCAAAGGACTAAATCCCTTTCCTCAACATTGCACTTCCTCCAAAAGAAGGCCTCTCCCAGACCTCCCCAGCTGTGTGTGGATGGTAGTTAGTGACAGAGCTTGCTACCTGATCTGGCAACACTCAGGAAGCCCGGCAGTGCTTACTAATCACTATGGTTCTCTGATCTTAGAACATGGGGATTGGTACCTTTTAAACTCTGCTTTGGCCTAATTCCAGAATAAGAAAAACAATCTCACTTCACTTTCTGTTAAAAAGTACTCAATCCTGTAGTCAGTACCTTAGATCAGCTCCCCAGAAACAGATGGTAATGAATGTATGATAGTGGTTTAGTCTCTTAAGTCGTGTCCAACTCTTGCTACCCAAAGGACTGTAGCCTGCCAAGCTCCTCTGTCCATGGGATTTTCCAGGTAGGAATACTGGAGTGGGTTGCCATTTCCTTGACTTATTAAGGTGATAAGAAAGAAAGGGAGTGGAAATACAACATGAAAGAAGAAGCACACACAAGCAACAGGGTGATTCTGGCAAAGCTGCCAAGAGGCTGGTCTCATCCCAATCCCTCCACGAAGTTTTGGTGCAAGGTCTCCTGTTGTAAGTCAAGGAGCTGGGCTTTCATTACAGGAATGTCAAGGAGGACTTCAGCTGAACACCCACAGCTACTGTATTTTAGAAGTACAGTCTTAAGGGGAGGAGGGTGAAAGGGACCTGAGGAATTGGAGTGGACTACTATGGCTGGTCAATGTTAATAAACTCATTCCTACAAGTTTTATAATGTTATAAAACAAGCCAGAAAGTGATCATTTGTTCTAAGACTTCACTAATAAAATACCTTGTATTATCTGTAACTAGAAAAGTATCATACACTTAGGTTACACTAACTGCTTAGTAAGCTGATTAATGAAATGCTAAGAGCAGTTTGGGAAAAAAAACAAACAGCAGAACAAAAGTTAAAGACTGAAGAAAACCTGAAGGAAAAAAATTTTCTTTTGATGTTAATCTTTAATTTCTCCAGGGCTGCTTTTGCTCTTTCTGGAAAGCAGTCACCTGCTTTAAATGTTTATTTTCTCCAAAGCTATTTCTGAAACATTCACAAAGTCACAGGATCTCAAAAACAATGTTTATTTTAACACATAAAATGTGCCACCTAGCACCAATGCCTGTTAAGTACCAGCATTCCATCTGGTTACTATTATGCTTTGGAACCAGTGCGACTGGGAAGTCCTGACAGATCAGTCTGAGAACAGATGATTATCATAACATAAAACAGAGACCACACAGAAAAAGAATCATTTGGTAAATGTACACAGAACTACACTTGTAGTTATTTAAATAGCTTTCTGTTTCATATAAACAAGTTATCACCAGTGATTTAGCCACATTTTCCTGGGAGCTACGCATGAGGAAAAGTACACGAGCCTAAAGCTGGGCCTTTTATTCTCACTCCATTCTCAAATAAAAAATTTTACAGATACCCCTTGCACTCTGACTTCTTACTTTCATCTTTATTAACCGACCACAGTATAATTTATTATGTAATTCACAGGGTAAATTATACTGTAATCAGCAAGGTGAAGGAAAAGCACAGAACTTTGGTCACAAAACAGTCTTTTTGTTTTTTGTTGTTTTTTTTTTCTCAAGTAAAAGAACACAAATATTAAAGTTGTCTGAAAAACAATGAAGTGGAAGATACTTATAATAAAATCCATTGTATAAATGTTAAAACCCTCTCTTAAATTTATCTTGATGACAAATTAAAATTTACTGATTTGAATTTAAACATTATTAAAGAGTAACTGATACCTCTCTTTAGAAACTGGATCAACTTACCTCTATTTTCCTGAAAACACGCCAAGCCAACCATGCTACTTCATTATTTTTGGCAGACTTTAGGCTAACCTCAGTACCTATTTTTATTGGAGGAGTGAGTGACACAATATTTCTTTTAAGCAGAACTTGATGTGGAGCTAAAAGTAAACTAAGTTGGATTTCAGGCCCATTGGTAGGTAGGCAGTCAGTCAAGTCATTTTTCATATTGCAGGCAGCCAGTGGTGGTTATCTATAGATCGGATCCCTAAAGACATGCTGAAAAAATCTGTGAACACAATCTTCCCATGCTGTATTCACATGCTTCATTCACGTTATTAGCTTACCCACGTTGTTAAGAGGCCTGGGTAAGATGACTAAAGATTTCATGATGGAAATTTCTATAAGAAAAAAAATGGAAAACTTAAAAGACTGATTTCTTATTATATATTAAATATTTATTGGGTATTTAATACTAGGTTTTATGCCTACTGACAGTCAAATGCAATTCAAATGAATAGCTATGTATAATGCTTGGAGGTGGTCTTTGTTAATGCCTAAAGTACAAGCAACCAAAGAAAGAACAGATATACTAGACAGCATCAAAATTAAAAACCTCTGTGTTTCAAAGGACATACTATCAAGAAAAGAAAAGGACAACCCACAGAATTTGGAAGTCATAAATCTGGTACGAGTCTGGTATCCAGGATATATAAAAAATGTTTACAACTCAACGGTGAAGACAACTCAATTTTAAAATAGGTAAAGGATTTCTACAAACATGTAAAAAGGCCAATAAGTGCACAAAAAAAGATACTCAACATCATTTTCATTAGGGAAATAAAAACCACAATGTAATTACCACTTCATACCTACTGAGATGACTACAATAAAAAAGATTAACAACAATAAATGTTAGGGAGGATATGGAGAAACTAGAAAATGCAGACAGTGCTGGTGAGAAAGGAAAATGGTATAGCAGCTTTGGAATAGTTTGGCAAGTCTTCAAAAAGCTAAACATGGAGTTCCTGTGTACCCTAGCAATTCCACTACGGATATACACACACTCAAGAGATCAGAAAACATGGCACACAATAGTTTCACATGAATATTCACAACCGGATTATTCACTAGCGCCTGAAGTGGAAACAAGGGAAATGCTCATCAACTGATGAATGCGTGGATGAGGTGTGGCATATCATACAAAGGACTACTATTCAAGCATAAAAAGAAGTGAAGTGCTGATGCATGCTAGGACATGGATGCACCCCTGAAAACACTGCTGAATGAAAGAAGCCAGATATAAGAAGCATACATCATGTGTGATTCCATCTGTATGGAATGTTCAATAGGAAAATCCACAGAGATACAGACTGGTGGTTGCTAGGAGCTGGGGAAGGCAGGAATAAGGTGTAACTGCTAAAAGGTATGGGGTTATGAAAATGTTTAAAATTAAAACGTGGTGATGGTTGTCCAATTAGGTAAATATGCTAAAATTGGCTTAAGTGTAAACTTTATAGTATATAAATTATATCAAGTTAAAAAAACAAATGACTCCCTGCCCCCCTCCCCCGCCACCGCCAAAAGCCTCTATATTTAGGAAACACAAAATTTTTAAGCCTCAAAAAAAAACCCCCCAAAAAAACCCTACTTTTAAAACTATACAACAGCTTTGGCTAAAACTGGATCCTTTTAAGGCATAAAACATTTTTAATTCATTGTTTTATCTCTAGAACCATGCGACATAATAGTTGATCTGAATTACTAATCCCACTGCTCTTCTTTCTTTGTAGTTCCAACACCTAGTCCCGATTCCAAAAAATGCACATTATCTGCTTTTGGCTAGAATGCACATAAATCAAAAAACTTCACCACAAATCCAAAGGAAGGCTAACAGAAACAAATGGAACTAAATCAAGTTTAGCACCCACAATTCATAAAAGTGATCTCGTTCTTGCCTTATACCAGTCACATACACACAAGGTGCTGGGGTACAAAGGTGGATGGGACACAATCCTTCCCTTCTACACATTAAAATACCAGGCACCGTATAAAATGTACTTATTATAATGGGTAAAGGGAGCAATCTAAAAGGGGAACATAAAAATTCTATTTAAAAAAAATTTTTTTTAAAATTCTATTTAATTGAATGCATTTTTCTTTATTGGACAGACCAATAAATAAAAACATGTAACTATGTTATAGTTGGACTAATTAAAAAAAAACAAAACTTGAATGGTTGGAGAGAGTTCACAAAAGTCAGAACTGGCATTTAAAAACCTCTAAGAGATAACAGAAATTTATAAATAGCTAAGTTACTTGTCTGAGGTAATGCCCAATTATAAAGCTATATAATTAGAAATAACCTTTACAAAAAAGTCTGCCTTATTTTAGAGAAAACACCTGAGGCCTGGCAAGTTAGGTAATCTTAACACTGAGCATTAGCATCCGAGTCCTGTTAATCATTATAACCAATTCCCCACATGAAAATTAATATCTACGTCATACTCAAGCTCAGAGACAGTGTCCAGCTAGTGAAATCACTTCAGAGGATATATAAGACAAACATGTGTTTACCGATTTTTTCTTTCTGATGTATAAAATGTGAATATCTTCACTTCGATATTCTTCATCATGTTTTTCCAAAGGAATTTTTTCAAAGTCAAAGTCTAGTTGAAGGAGCTATAAATTTTAAAAAGATGCAATTCAAATTCAATAATATGAACTATGTTGCTGACAGAAATCAGAATAGTGGTTACCTTTGGAATACTGACTGAAGGGGTATATGAAAAGTTGAGCTAAGCACTTGATATATATGCCTTTGATATGTTTTTTTTGTATATGTTTTAACTCAACTGAAAACTGATTAATGATATCAAATTTTCAAGTATACATTATTTCAAAAGTTCATTAAAGTTCTTCACAGTCAAGAAAAACATGAAAGTAAAAACCGACTTCACCTTATATCTGAGGCAGAGTCATGAAGAGTCACTTAACCCAAAGTAACCCTTTCAGAAGATAAAAGTGAAGAGCCATAAAGATGTTTCCTTAAGAGGAACCACTTGTAACATGATGGATCTTTATACATAAGCAGCATTTGGGTGACCACTGGAGGAAGATGGGTAAAAGACAAAGGGGATTCTAAGTACTACTTCTGCAGCTTCCTATGGGTCATTAATTCTTGCAAAAGAAGAAAAAGAAAAGAACAACTTCAAAATAGGTAGAATACACTGGCCAAAGCTACCATAAAAACACAGTGGAAAATACTGGAATGAAAACATATCACATTATCATGTTTCCATCATGTATTCTCCAAAAAATATATACATCATTAATATGTTCCTAAAAGCCAGCAACTTGACTGATAAACACTGAAAACTTTCTCAGGAAAGACAAGGGTGTCACATTATTACTTTACATGGCTTTACAAATACTAGATCAACAAGTCAGAAAAGAAAAATAAAGGATCAGAATGGGGGTACTGGGGCGGGGGAGGCTGGCAGCAGTTGTTAGAATGGTGTGCTGTAAAGAATTCTCTCTTTGGGTTCATACAAGCAGAATGTTTTCCCTACTCAAAGTTAGCACACTATACTGGAACACAAAGTCACACATAGCCTCTCTGAAAGGTAATCCCTACAAAGGTAGATCTAATAGAGTACTCACCTCAAAATATTTTTTCTCGATTTCTGGATTTTTCCCCATTGTTCGCTGTTCATAACAACATATAATACAAGTCTCAGACCCACTGAGATCTTTTAGGGTTTTCAACAATGGCTCCAAAGACTGTTCGAAAAAGAATATGATTTTTGTTAATGACTTTTAAAAACACATATGTTCACTATAAACGGGGGTAGGGGAGGCAGAGGAGATAATTATAACTCCCTTACAATTCTCACATCTTTGAATCAATCCAATCCACTAAACAAAGTTACAGCTCTGTAACTAATGATTGGTAAACTCCTAACTAATCAACCATTGTATTAATTTCAGCTTCCAGAGAATGGATTCAAGCGATTGCATTTTGGAGTACCCATGGGTAAAAATGGAATTGACAGCATTCTTGAAGCTTAATCTTAACAGGATTTAAACAATCAACAATTTACTTACAAAAGTAGGTCCAACTTTAACTTGAACATAAGTTGGTTCAATGTTCATTATTGTAAAAAAATGATTGATGCTTACAACACTATACAAACTGATATTCCAAAAGAAAAAAACATTCTATAAATATAATAAATCTTGTCCCAAAACAACGAATCCTTTAGGATGCAACTTACAGCTAACTTTAAAAGAAAAAAAAAAAGAAATCTTAGTCTTTTACAGGCGATCCAAAAGAAAAAAATCCTTCAAAAATTTTACAGAAGTCTCTCCTAAAATGCACATAACACTTTTCTCAATAAGCTTCAGGGACCTCTACGTTAATCATGAGTACATATACGTATTTCCTGGTGGCCTTTATTTTCTCTTTGTTCATCAACTATGAAACAAATATCCTGCATTCAGAGATGTTAAAATGCTAAGTAATGCGTGCTCCTGAATCCTCGAAATACAGTTTAAGTTTTCTAAACGAAGAGACTCCACTCATCAAATACTCACCTCTTCGTAGTATATGCAGTCAGCCATCAGTATATAGTCTGGCGAAGAAGGAAAGTCTTCTAATTCTTCCCCCCTTAAAAATGTCAACCACATATTTTAAACTGTTGTTTTACTAATTTAAAAGTCTTGTTTTATAAAAAGACCCAGAAGTCTCCATTCGCATTAATCATGCTTTCAGTGAAACGCAATTTAAAGCAAACTACAAATTGTTATCTTAAAACAAGCTGAAAGGCCATACAAACCATTTCAGTACCTTGGCTTGAACAGAACCAGTGACAAGATGCTTGTTCATATTAATATTCATCTTCAGCAAGTCTTGCAATTCCTCAAGATCGGTGACTGTGACATCTGCCCTATAAAATAACGTTGATTGAGGTGTAGGCACAAGAGTGGGAAGCCGGGAACCGGGGTTTCCTGAACAAAGAGGCGTCCCCTCCCGCCAGGTCTTACCCGAGGGTAGCGGCCATGAGCCCCACAGCCCCGGTGCCCGAGCCCAGCTCTAGCACCGACCGCCGGCTCAGCGCGTGGGCCCCATCGCCGGAAAATCCGGGCGTTTCCAGGTATTTAGAAAGGACAATGGCAGCGTCCCAAACAACGCAACCCACGCCGCCGGAGCCATACTGCTGCAGTCGTAACACTGTGCCATCTCGCTTCTCCAAAACTCGCACAAAGTTCCGCAGTGGATCCTCCCCAGAGGACTCCCGAGAAGCCGCCATCGCTGCCCGGCAACAAGAGGCGCCGCACGCAGCGACGTCACATTCACGCGCACTATTCCGGGCCCCGCCTTGCCAGGGCCCCGGCGCGTCCCTGCGGCGGCGTTGGGGCTGCGGCGCGTGCGCGAAGGCACAAAGCCTGGACGGCAGCACTCTTCCAGCGTGGCCAGCGGTGGGCCATGGCGCCCCTAGGTGCCAAACCGTCTCATTCTTCTCCCCTAAGTTACAAGCGTGGCTTAACAAACGGGCAGTTTAAATCACTTTTCCAGACGACGCCAACCTGAGCGTTTTTACCTGGCTGGAGACTGAGTCACACACAGTTTTTTTTTTTTTTTTTAATTACTGGCTTTAAATCAAGGCAGCTTCCAAGATACTACCAAGTATTTTGGTAGTCTGCTTATCTCGAGTTCCTAATAGGCTCCTAAATTTTCATCTAAATGCATAAAACGGTTGCAGGAAGCTTGTGATTGCGTTTAACGGTGAAGACAGTTCCCCCTCTTCCCTCTAAAGTTTACATCACTTAAATTCTTTGGGATTATGGAATTTAAATTGTACAAAATAACTGAAAATAATATGTGTATATGTATTACTTGTACAGAACTCGACAGTCTTACCCCCTTGTTCCTTATAATGAAAACACATTTTAAAAGTCTTTTAAAAATTAAGACTGGGGTGATTTATTAATCTTGTTAGGAACTCTGATACAAAGCACAGTAAAAGGCCACAGACCAGTAAATAAACAATGTGGCTTTTGGCTACTTTACAACTGCTGCTAGCACTAAGAGCAAAACACGCTTTCTCATCACTTTGAACAGAGGAGTACAAATGGCAAATAAAAGTTTTAATCACTTCTCTGATTAAAAAGTTTAATAAAGCTTTTAACTGCTGGTTTAAATATTACCAATCTAAAAAAATACTTTAAAAAATTTTAGTTAATATGAGATTTATAGAGAAAGTTACTTGGTTTTGAAGGCAATGCAGTTGGTTCCTATGCCATAAGAAAATTATCCTCCGGATTTATGAATTAGTAAAGTAGCAGATTGTATTATAGGCCTTGAGTCACATAAATTTATATAGGTTATTAGCATTATTTTTAAATATACAGTATAAACAAAACTGTACATATATGGCATATTAACTTTGTTTTCCAAAACAATAGGCAACTCGTTAGCTAAAGACACCATAGCCTGCAAAAACAAAAAGGCACATCTGTACAAGATATATGCCCTTTTCCCCTCTATGACTGAGTTAGGTAGTCTTTACATTTTGATAAAATAATAAACACAGTGCATTCTATTATTTTCATTCTATTTTTCACTTTTGTCTTCAGCAGCAAATTCTGGCATTTAAGACATGGCATTGAAGAATTTAAGAATAGTGGGTGTTATTCACAATTTTCGGTAAAAACTAGATGTAAAAACTAAAAGATGGTCAAAGAGGCTTAAAAATCAGTATCACCGCATACCCCCTATATGTGTGTAAATTCACTGCCTTAAATAGTCATCTGTTAGTCAAATTTGAAAAATTCCACAAATGCACTATCCCCTTTCAGTGCAATCAGTTTTACTTTAAACCATATTTTAGCAGAGTCTACAGTGCAAATATAAATTCCTTATACTGGCCTTTTGGCAGCACTGAGGATCCAAGACAAGGCAATGCTACTGATCACCTGAGGATAATGGTAAATGACTTCTGTATTTTTATTTTTCCAATTCTGAAAAGCTTATTTGATCAGTAGCATTTTTGTAAGAGCATTATTTTTAAAAAGTACTAAAATACTATGCCTTTTTTGAATAAATTAAAAAAAAAGAAACTTTACAAATACCATTCCAGTGTCAATGACTACATATGGCTAGGGTCATTGAGGAGTTTCTGCATTTTCTAACAAAGGCAGTCTGTACATTGGGGGGTGTGAAAGCTCCCGTTTGTAAGTCTTTGGTGGCAGTTTTGGTAGATGAGGGCTTGAATTCTGCCTTGGTGGAACAGGGGGAGCTTGAGGATGAGCAAGATTATTTTGACTGGAACTGAGCACATAGCATCGACGAGGTACCCTTGGAGAGGGTGTGCTAGGAGGAGTGTTCGGAGAATTTGGACATGTACTAACGTCTCTGAACCAGTCGGGATCTCTGTGAAGATGTCCCAGTGGAGGTGGCTGAAGAGTAAACGGACAGTTTATAAAGTGTTCTGGAGGCCGAAGTGGAACTGGTGGAGGGGTATCAGGAAGAGGATCTCTCGGCGGCGGTGGAGGTGGACTATGCAGAGGCCCGTCAAATGGACCGGTAGGAGCAGGAACTCTGGGTTTTACCTTTGGAGGAGGAGGTTGTCTTGGTGGAATAGCAGGGGGGTCATCATCAGATTTCATAGTTCCCTCAAAAACAAAAAAATTAAATTATACCTCTGTTCTCTTGAAACATCTATAAGAAAAAGTTTTTAAAAGACTAAAAAATTCTTACATGTTAAGTTAAATCCAGAGACACAAAATAGGTTAATCTGGTTTAATGATCAGATTTATGAATAAATTCAGTTTCACTCAGGGCTCAGTTTAATATTTTTATATATGAGATGTTTTAACTGAAATCTTATAAAGCCTCAGATTATCTTGCTTTGTAGATAGTTTATAAATTTATGCATTTTAATTATAATAATGGGCAAGTTAAGTGAAAAGAATTTATAGTTTTGTAGACATGAATGCTGAAGTTGAAGCTCCAATACTTTGGCCACCTGATGGATGAGAAGAGCCAACTCACTAGAAAAGACCATGATGCTAGGAAAGAATGAGAGCAGGAAAAAGGGGCAGCAGAGGATGAAATGGTTGGATGGCATCACCGACTAAACGGACATGAGTTTGAGCAAACTCCGGAAGATAATGAAGGACAGGGAAGCCTGGTGTGATGCAGTCCATGGGGTCTCAAAGAGGCGGACATGACTTAGTGAATGAACAAGACATGAAAGAACATGATGTCAAGAGGACTTAATATCCAGCTTCTGCTTTTTGGCCATTTACTTCTACTATCCCCAGTGAGGTTCAGAGTGGTGGTTCTCCAAAGTGCGACCCAGGATCAGCAGCATCAGCACTACTGAAAGTGAAAGTGTTAGTCGCTCAGTCGTGTCCGACTCTTTGTGACCCCATGGGGTGTAGCCCGCCAGGCTCCCCATTCCATGGAATTCTCCAGGCAAGGATACTGGAGTGGGTAGCCATTCCCTCCTCCAGGGATCGTCCCGACCCAGGGATTGAAACCTGGTCTCCTGCAGGCAGATTCTTTACTGTCTGAGCCACCAGGGAAGCCTTAGTAGGGACTTGTTATAAATGAAAATTCTTGGGCCCTGCCCCAGACCAACTGAGTCAGAAATTCTGGCCATCTGATTTTAACAAACCTTTCAGATGCTTCTGATGCAGCCTGAAGTTTGAGAAGCACCAGCTGAAAGTTTGGAGAATGCTTTGACTACTACAGTTCTTCCCATCTCTACCCGAAAGAAAACGTACTTCTGAGTATCTATGGATCTGCCCAGCCTCTTTTTTTTTTAGAAAAAGTATTATGAGGATTAAACAGTTATTTAAGGTATATTCTAAATAAAACAACCTAAGTATTTAAAAAACATAAAGGGTAACCAAATTATAGTTGACAGACTCTCTTTAAGAATAAGCACAGTTTTAAAGATTCACAACTTTGAATAAGTTGAGACAAACCCAAGTCCTGTTGACTACCTTGGACTTTTGTTGTTGCTCTTGTTGGCCGCAAGACACAGCATGTGGGATCTATAGTTCCCTGACCGAGGATCAAACTTGTGCCTCCTGTAATGGAAAAACAGCATCCTAACCACTGGACCATTGGGGAAATTCCCTACCTTGGAATTTGAAGCATCCTGATCAAATTTTTTTCGAGGTGGAAGTGGCGGAGGAATCAGTGGCTCTTCACTTAGCTTATGTAAACTACCACACGAACTGAAGAAAGACTCTGGGGGTAAAAAGAATAGTTTAACCACAACTCACAATGCAATCATAAGATAAAACTTTATTTCAATCTGTGATCACCTCTCCTATGGCATCCATCAGACTGTACTGTAGCTGACTGTTGGTTTAGCTATCCTCTCCATTAAGGTGTAAGCTTTTTGAGGGCAGTGTGTATTTTCATATCCATAGCATGGATACTGATGGTACCTGCCACATGCTAGGTACTACTGCTAAATGAAAATACAGTATCCAATTAAGATTAATAAGGAGATTCTGCTCCCTGAAAAGTCTTTTGTTTATATAACTGTACTAATTTCCAAAGAAAGATCATCCATAAACACAGACCATGCATTTTTTAAAAAGTTACTATCAGATACATTTCTACAAAGGTAATAAAACCTCCATTTAGGAGACAATAGGGTACGGTTATATCACAGACCTGTTCTCTGTACAAATTTCTTATTGATAATGGACATATTACATAACCACATCAATGGAAATTTACAAAATAATAAAGTATTATAGGAAAAATTATCCCTAAACATGCCAACCAGACACGAATGATTTTCATGTTCATTTCTTTTATCTATTTCATATGGTTATAATACCTGTAATTATGGACCTGTATAAAGGCACTGATCAAATCTAACATTATACTGAGATTGGGTTTATAGGAGCTTGTTGGGAAAGAAGCTGATGAGTTTAACTTTAAACACTGAGTTTGTGTGAACTGCTTATGGGACATCCAAGTAAAGATGTCACTCATTACTCCATGTCAAAAATTGCTGACCTGATCGGTCGCTCTGCAGTCACCCCAGGGGGTCTTGCTGGCTCAGAGTGCCAACAGCAGAAACAAACAATATCCCTATGTGGTGCTGGCAGATGGTGCGAGGAGGTCAGAGAGAGCACTACCCACTATCAATACATTCCTTTTGCTTGCCCAGCACACTCTGCCCTGTCTTTGTCTCTAGGTGATGGTGAATCCATTCCATACAGTTTAGTCAGCCAATTCTGCCCAGGGCACCCCAATTCCAGTCAAGAAGTGGACAAAGGACTCATTTTCTTGACAAGATCAGATTTGTAGCTACCTCCTT